TTAAACTTCTATTGAAGGCTTTGAAAGCTATTGAGTTATCAGAAGTTTGAATTAATGGGAGTTTGAGCAAGCTTATTCTGCTTAAACTTAGAAGAACTTGATTGTTGATTATCAGAGTACACGTTCTGGCCATTGTACCCAGCTGCACTGTACAACTGTTCAAGGACAGACTACTCAGAAATGAGAAAATGCACAGAATCTTTACTCTTTCATCAGCTGTATGATGAAAGAGTAAAGATTCTAAGGTCCCACCTTTGTTTGAACTTCTTAGTGAATCTTCTACAAATGTACATGATTGGGTTAGCTAAATTTTTAAACTTACAAGTGCATTAAAAAAATTCATTCCTTAAGTTTATGAAATACAAAGCTGGTACACAATTTCAAAGCAGTATCTATGAAACTAAGGGTCCATAATTTTAAGGGAGTTGAAGTTTTTTTTGTCTTTTTGGGGTTTTTTTTACATCTTGATTCCAGTCAGAGGATAATTGAGATGAATAATTTGTTTAGGTTGAAATTTAGTAGCTTAGTTCTACACTTAAGAAAACAGGGTAAGGGAAACAATAAATAATGTTTCCTTCTAGGGAGTGAGTCTAATTCAGTGGTTCTTAAAGAATGGTCTCCAGACCAGCAGCATCAGCATTATCTGGGACCTTGCTAAAATGCAAATTCCTGGGGCCCAGCACAAGACTACAAAATCAGAAACTCTGGGGATGGAGCCCAGATATCTCTGTTTTAACAAGTCCTCCAAGTGATTCTGATGTATGCTAAGGTCTGAGAATCACTCATTTAGTTTATCAGAGTAGAAAGCAAACTAGACTTTTAGGGCAGAGACAATCTTGATATAAAGAGTATAAATTTCTCTCAATAACACGATGAGGTCTATGTCTTAGAAATCTGAACGTAGAAAATGGGTACAAAATGATCAATTCTAACAGTCGGTAAGTCTATATAACTATATAATCTATATGACCGTATAACAGAGTATTATATATAGTATGTATGTTATAGAATATATAAAACAGTATATTTATATTGATCTTAATTTTTATTACAGTGAAAAATAAATAGTAACAATATGATTTACATTTATAAGTTTTATTGTTCTATTTGTTTTTAACTCACTCTCACTTGCTGAACAGGCTTTGATTATCACTAATCCTATGAGAAAATCATACTAAGAAATTATCATCCAATTTCAGAGATAAGGAAATTGAGGCTTAAATAGGGTAACTGATTTCCTTAAGTACACATCGAGGAGCAGCTAGAGTTCAAACGCAAGATTTCTGAGGTCAAGATCAGGATCTTCCCCTGTATCGTGCAGTACCATATTACTGATTATCATATGGAGTTTCTTTTAATTTTTTTTTATTATACAAAAATATACATAAAATTATCATGTATTTTAAAACAAAACTATAAAAAGAGAAAAAGAAAAGCATTATAAGAATAGTCAAAGATACTTTTGCTCTAAACCAGAAAAATCAACAGACATATTGATTGATTTTTTTCAGAGATATCTTCTGTCTTTTGAATTTACCAGGTAGCCTGCAGATGACTTTTTCAGGTTAAGGGTACAAATCTTTGTGCTCCTTCATATTTCTTACTATGTAAGTCTCAAGAAAATATGCCTCTAAATGATCAAATATGTGATCCCAAAATGAATACAGCAAGGATAATAACAAACAGGGCTGATAAGTGCAACAAATACAAGCACAGTGTAAATAAATGCTTAGAAAATACACAAAAAGTTACAGAAAAGCAAAGCTAAATGTCAGGCTATTTCTGTAACAGACCAGCCTAGACATTCTCTCCCTTTGTTATCTCAATGGTTAAAGGTACTCTTTAAAAATCTATTCCTTAGGACTTCCCTGGTGGCACAGTGGTTAAGAATCTGCCTGCCAACTCAGGGGACACGGTTCGAGCCCTGTTCCAAGAAGATCCCACATGCCATGGAGCAACTAAGCCCGTGCGCCACAAGTACCGAGCCTGCACTCTAGAGCCCGCGCACCACAACTACTGAAGCCCGCGTGCCTAGAGCCCGTGCTCTGTAACAAAAGAAGCCACCGCAATGAGAAGCCCGTGCACCCAAGGAAGAGTACCCTGCTCACCGCAACTAGAGAAAGCCTGCACAGCAATGAAGACCCAACACAGCCAAAAATAAATAAATAAAATTAATTAATTAAAAAAACATCTATTCCTGGCTTCTGAAAATACTCTTGACAGAAAGTTCTAGCAGGAAATGCCCTTGGCAACTAGCTGACTCAGCACAGAGCTAATCTACCTAATCTTGAAAAACTCAATAAACATGCACACATCCTCTCCCACTGGTTCTTAAGTTTCTTCTCTACTGAAATAGGGTTTGAAGACTTCCTATACTGCTCTGAAAAGATTACAGAGATTATTAAAATGATTATTAAACCCAATCTAGAAGTGATTATATATTATGGCTCAGTGTGGATTCTGCCTCAGAAATAACATTTAATAAAAGCCATTCTCCATTGTAATTATGTATGCCATAATTCGTTGCGTGCAGCAATGAAGACCCAATGCAGCCAAAAATAAATAAATTTATTAAAAAAAAAGGAGGTAAATTAGTATTTACCTATATAGAACACATGCCCTCTAGGAACTAATATTCTTTTATTCAAAATTTGAAAATAGTTTGTATCAGTAAAACCCACAGAGCACTAGGGCTTAACTTCAATCTCATCTTAATTTTATTACAATTTTCTAATAACTTTTTCCTTAAAAAGTTATAAAGAGTATGAAAATAAGTGTGACATTATGCATTCTAATTGTAAGGGACTTGTTAAATAAATGAAGGTAAATTCATTCAATAAAATATGATGCCACTCTTATAACTACATGTAAAAGAATAAAACTAGAACATTCTATAACACCACATACAAAAATAAACTCAAAACGGATTAAAGACCTAAATGTAAGACTGAAACCCATAAAACTCCTAGAAGAACACATAGGCAGAACACTCTGACAATTCGCAGCAATATTTGTTTGGATCTGTCTCCTAAGGCAAAGGAAACAAAAGCAAAAATAAACAAATGGGACCTAATTAAACTTAAAATCTTTTGCACAGCAAAGGAAACCATCAACAAAATAAAAAGACAACTTACTGAATGGGAGTAAATATTTGCAAATTATATTACTGATAAGGGATTAATATCCAGCATATATAAACAGCTCACATAACTCAACTTCAAAAAACGAACAACCTGATTAAAAAATGGGCAGAACTGAATAGACATTTTTCCAAAGAGGAAATGCAGGTAGCCAACAGGCACATGCAAAGACGCTCAACATTGCTAATCATCCAGAAAATGAAAATCAAAACCACAATGAGATATCACCTCACACCTATCAGAATGTCTATCATCAAAAAGAACACAAATGTTGGCAAGGATGTGGAGAAAAGCTAACCACCTCGTACACTGTTGGTGGGAATGTAAATTGGTTCAGCCACTGTGGAAAGCAGTATGGAGGGTTCTCAAAAAACTAAAAATAGTACTACCATATGACCCAGCAATTCCACTCCTGGATATATATCGGAAAAAACCAAAAACACTAATTTGAAAAGATACATGCACCCAATGTTCATAGCAGCATTATTTACAATTGCCAATATACTGGCACCTAAGTGTCCATCAACAGATGACTGGATAAAGAAGATGTGGTGAATATATATACAGTGGGAATACCTACTCAGCCATAAGAAAGAATGAAATTTTACCATTTGCAACAACATGGATCGACTTGGAGGGTATTATGCTGAGTGAAATATGTCTGACAAAGACAAATACTGTATGATATCACTTATGTAGAATCTAAAAAATAAAACAAACTCGTGAATATAACAAAAAAGAAACAGACTCACAGATACGGTTACCAGTAGGGTAAGGGTAGCGGGTAAGGGCAGGACAGGGGTAGGGGATTAAGAGGTACAAACTACTATGTATAAAATAAATAAGCTACTAGGATGTATTGTACAACACAGGGAATATGGCCAATATTTTATAATAACTATAAACAGAGTATAGCCTTTAAAAATTGTGAATCACTGTATGGTGTACACCTGAAACTTATGTAATATTGTATATCAACTATAACACAACAAAAAAAGGTAATCTACAAAAATAATAATACAATGCCACTCTTTAGTACTGATATAAAATGATTTCCAAGATTAAGTGCAAAACAAAACAAGGTACAGAATAGTATATATACTTATCTTCTGTAAGACAGAGGAGTAAATCCCCAAAATATATATAATTACTTGTATATGTGGAGATATCTCTAGAATAATACATAAGAAACTAGTAACACTGGCTGTATCCAGGGAGGGTAAGTGGGTAGTTGGAGAACAAAGGTGGAAGGGAGTCTTTTCACTGTATATTAACTTTGCCTTTTGAATTATGTACCATGTCCAAGTATTATTTATTTTAGAAGGAAAAAAAAACTTCCTCTTTTGATATTCCCTATGTCGTATGGCTAACTCATCATTTTCTAAGCTCATTACTTCTTTCCCGGCACTATATTATCAATATGTAATGACATTTTTTTCAAATCAAATCAATACCCACTTAGCAGTGGGTCTCTAAGCTGCATGGCTTCTATGTGTTTTTATTTATGACAGCCTTTACAAGAACACTAAAATGAGACCGCCTACAGATTCTAAAACTGCTAAGTGGAAAGAAAGCTGAGATCTGCAAGTGTTTTCAAAATAGACCACAGGAGAAACCTCATGTGCCAGTTTTATTACTTGATTTAAAAAAAAAGTCTTCCTTTTAGAACTGAAGTTTTGTGTCACCTTTAATAGTCACATTCCTATACAATTATCAAGATCCAATACTTCATTGTGCAAAGCATATTAGGATGTACGAATTTTTTTAAATAAAATTAACTCAATAAATTTTATGTGCGTGTTCTTTTCCATGAAGAAGAAAAAGAGAATAACACTGAAACAAATATATCCATATTCCTACCTTCAAAAATCTCTCATTGGTCAACAGTGCAACTTGCTTTTCTGAAGCTTGCTTTTCCACGTACCTAAAATTTTTACCATCCCATACACAAAAAGAGAAAATTAGAATTCTAAATATTTGAATAGTATATGGAAAGAAAGAACTATGTAGATTGGCGGCCACATTCTTTTATTTCTTCTCAAACATAAGTTCAAGATGACAGTCATGGTTTACGGTCATTTTTAACTCCTTAAATCAGCTGCATTTCACAGTCTAGGGGTCTAATAATAAACAAAAGCCATAAACTCCAGAAATAGGAAATGTTATTTATAAAAAGTGACTCTGGAGAACCTGCAAATTATGTCTCCTTGTAAAAATATTTTTCTTTATGCCAAGTGTTCAAATCCAACAAAGAAATGTCTCAATTAAAAACAAAAGTGTTTTATTTTGCTCTAAACAAAGAAGTTATTTTTCCCTCTACCCACTTCAAACATAACTGGGTCTGAGATCCCTTATTTTGCCCCAAACTCTTTTATAAGATGTGTTAAATATGTACTTCTCTTTTTACCTCCTAAACGATGGAAGACGTCGGATGTTTTCACATTGATTATCTGATAAAAAATTTATTCTTCTCTTGGCTTCTGGGAGATTACAGCACAGAACACTGAGGGGCTGGGAATAGAAATGTTCTAATAGAGAAAGCTGAAAGAAATGTGAAAATTAAATATATTTGCTGTATTTTGACAGTAAATCTTTTGTCCTACATTTGCTCAATTTTAAGGTTTTTTTTAAACAGCAAAAATATTTACGGCACTATTATATTTAATAATGTCACAATAGCAATGCAAATAATGCACAAATGGCTATATACTTTGAATATTTTAAGACTCCAATTTTGTCGACAAGGTCAGAAAATTGTAATGTCTGAAGTAGAAACTAAAAGAAACTAATATAAATAACTTAGCTATCTGCAGGAGCAACTCATTTACAATAACAGTAAATGTGGTGGGGATGTGACTGTGGTGTGAACTAATAGCCTAACAGATGCTCAAATACTCATAAGAAAATACCAATCTAGAATCAGTGTAAAAACTGGTCTGCTAAATAAATAAAAATGCTACAATAGCAGAAATTTTGCCTACTGATAAAAAACAATATGAAAAATGAGGGACGTCCAAAGAAAATATATCTTTTTAAATTTAGTTTTATTTCATGGAGGAAAAGATGGTACAGTATCTGGTAGATACATGTATTCCAGTCTAGAATGCTGTGGTCTCTGCAGTACAAGGGTGATTAATTTTCCAGATCCTACCATAATTTGTAAGATATATTTCACAAGACTATCCACATGTTAAAAGCTCTGAATCTAAGCAAGCTTCTCATGACCAGTTTGGTTTTTCCAGATACCTTGTACCAAAGAGACAGTTCCCTAGATAGTGGACAAAACACACCCTGGTCCCTGGAAAATAGCATTCCGCATCACAAATTAATAAATTAACATGCTAGCTTATATATCAGTCTTAAGGTATTTGAGCTTGAACCTTCCTGGGTAAACTGATAATGAATTTCTGAGCCTGTAGAGCTGAAGACCAGATATCCAAGGCAAGAGGAAATCCTCCAAAATAGTCCAAAATAGTCCATCCTCCAAAATAAGGCTATAAGGCAAAGGGCCAGCCTAACTTAGAAACAAGTACAAAATAGAAAGCAACTGTTCATGCCAGGTGCTGAAGTATTTTTGCACGTATCAACATGATCTTATTTCTTACTTATATATTTCCAATTATATTAATGTGATAATATTTATTCCAATGTTAACACTACTTTTTAAACATGAGAAAAGTAAAGACCAAACACGATAACGGACTTGCTGGGGAGGAGGAAAGGGACTAAGTCACATGAGTTACAGCAGAGCTACAGACAGGACAAGAACCCAGTAACACTTAAGTATTCGGTCCAAGTGTGTTCCCAATATTTGGGTGAATTAACAAGTTGGTTAACATATCCACCTAATAAGGGAAGGACTCAACCATATACCGAATGTATATGCCCTACTGCACCTTCTACAGAGAAGTAAAAACTTACACATATTTCCCATTGATGATTAGGAAAACTAGACAAATGGGGTCTAAAGACTCTGCCACTTATTAGCTGTGTGACCTTGGCCAAGCTACTTAACCTAAGCCTTTGTTTCTCCAAGTGCAAAACTGAGAATAATACATATTAATGAAGCAATGTTAATACTCAGCAAAATGCCTAGCATAAAAAAATTATCAGGAACCTATAAAGTCATCTAATCAGATCCCTTCATTTTACAGATGAGAAAACTGAGAAACAGAAAGATTAAGTAATCTGGTTAATATGCTTTTCTTCACTCACTTTCTCAATGGTATTTGAGCCTACAGTTTATATTTTCTTTTCCCTTAACTTCAGTGATCTCTCCCCTCTATTGGTTTTCCTTGTTGTTTTTAGTCTCCTTTTCTGTTGCTCACTCACACAGTCAGCTTGCATTAGGGCTCTACTCCTGGTCCTTTCCTCACTCTAGGTGACTTCATCCTCATTACACAGCTTCAACCATCACCTTTTAATGATAAATCCTAAATATTTCTAGTCCAGATCTTTCTCCTGGGTACCAAACCTTTATATCCCACATGCCCTAAACTTACCATACATAAAAAGAAACTCATCCTTTTCTGACAAACTGGCTGTTTACTTTAGCATGTACACTTAATAAAGGGTACCAACCTCCAAACTATTTGCCAAGCTAGAACCTGTGTGTCTGTAAGATGCTCCTCTCTTACTCACCCTATCATCCACCGAGGAACAAGATTCTATCTCATCTTCAAATCTGTTTCCTTCTCCCTAGTCCCACTATCACTACCTGTTTCGCCCCTGTTGTATCTTATCTAGGTAACTGCAGTAGCCCTCTAACAGAGGTCTCTCCCTCTACTGGGGCCTTTCCAATTTTGACCCAGCTAGCTCCTGTTCCTTAGGATACACTTCTGTTCTCCTATGGACGCCCAGGCATGTTTCTTTAACAGCACTGACTACTCAGAACAGTAACCGCCATTCTACTCTTCTGCCTGCTTCACTAAATAAGCAATTTGAAGACAGAGATTTCTTGGTCCTCTGTATTTCCAGGGCTCAGCTTAGTGCTTGACTTAGAGTAGACCCGTGATAAACACTCATGAGTAAATAAACAAATGAGTAAAATGAAATGAATGAGAGAAGTAAATTAGAAAGTTACATCTCAATTTCATTTAATTTTCCATATTGCTAAGGTAAATAATATTTTCTTGCTTTAAAATACTCTTTTTAAAAAGTCTAAGTTGAAAAAAATGACACATATTAGCCATAACAGCTTACTCTTATGTAATAAAATACTATAGTGTTTAATGTAGAGGAAGAACACATATGAGAAATAATTTATAATCTTCAAGGCACTACACAAACATGAGGTATTACCATATTGCACTTTTGTACTGAAGGTTACTAATACATAGGTTTTCATGAACCTGACAACTGGCATGTGTTCACGACTATACTTTGCTAAGTTATTTTAGGTAGTTGCCGAAAGAAGGAAATACTATCGACTTTGAAACAACTGGAGAATGGAGTCCTTTTTTAGATTAGGTGTTATGAAGCTAAGTTCATGAATTTTCTTCTTGAAATTTATGAAACTTTAGTGAAAATCCATTCACAATATATAGGAATAAATATAAATGAACACACACACATATGTGCAGGGCACAGCAAACTAGAGCCCATAGCCTATTTTTGTATGGTCCAGGAACTACAAATTATTTTTATACCTTTATAAAGGGTTATTTTAAAAAAATAACAAGGGCTTTCCTGGTGGTGCAGTGGTTGAGAGTCCGCCTGCCGATGCAGGGGACACGGGTTCGTGCCCCGGTCCGGGAGGATCCCACATGCCGCGGAGCAGCTGGGCCCGTGAGCCATGGCCGCTGAGCCTGCGCGTCCGGAGCCTGTGCTCCACAACGGGAGAGGCCACAGCAGTCAGAGGCCCGCATACCACACAAAAAAAATAAAAACTAAAAAAAGTAACAAGACTTTCAACAGAGACCACATGTAGCATGCAAAGCCAAAAATATTTAATATCTAGTCCTTTAGAGAAAAAGTTTGCTGACCCCTTATATATAGCATTTCCTAGGTAGAAAGTCCATTAGCATTCATCAGATTCTCAAAAATAAAGGCCCCTTCCTCCTCACCCCCAAATGGTTAAGAATCACTGGAATGGAGAGGTCTTTTTCCATTTTTGATATTCTAATTAACGTATTTTCTACATTTTGCTGCAAAGTAACAAAGGAACCATAGAATCTAGAATAATATAACTTGAACTTACTTATTCAGATTTTGCCATTTAAAATGCCCAATTAACATGCAAATTATTTAGAATCAGCTTGCGAATTTTCAAACCCATTAGTGTCTTCTTACCTGAAGTCCTTTTATAAAGTTTTGGATTGAGAAATCATGATACAAAAAGATGTTGGTCAGAACCTGCAACACTTTTTCACTTAGTTTAAATGGAAATTGAGTTGTAAGAAGTAGCTGAAAGAGAAAAGGGAGGCAGGACATATTCCTGGTTAGTCTTCCCTCTTCATAAATATCAAGTATAAATAATGAGGCAACGAATGATACCAAAACACAGTACCTATGAAAGCTATACTAGTAGCTAGATTTTTTTAGGTCAGATATCAACCAAAATTTTAAATAAACTTATACAACAGTAACAACAACAATAGAAGCTATTCATACTATATCTTCAGAATCACAGATATCCATCATCCTTCATTCAATTCCTAATTTTAAAAAATTCTATTAAAAAATATCATCTATACAAACTCTTTTCTCCCAACAGAAGCCACTGAAGAAACTGTAGGCTTTGGCAATTCTTGTTATTAAATTTCTTTTTCATCCATATTGATGCACATTAACGAAGAGTAACAACACATTATGTACTGTTGAATGAGAAACCCCAAATTAACAGGTGTCTATTTAAAAAATATTAAATAGCTGAATTTGCATTTCAATGGCCTACACTGAAGATTTTACATCTGAAAACAAAAAGTCATACTAGGCTTTTCAAACAGAAACAGAGTGATAGAAGGCCAACTGAATTTGGAAACAACCTAGCAACTTTAAGTACTGTAGCTGGAAAAAATTTCCCTAAAGTCAGTGGCTACCACCTTTAAGGGAAAAAAATGCAGAAGTGGTTACTAAATAAGTGGAAGGTGGTCGTTAGTTTACCTTACAGAGCAGCACAAAGGACATCTTCAAGGAGGTGAGTTTAGCAACAGTTCATGGAAGGTCACTACTAAAGAACAGTATTTCCACTTAGGTAGAAACATAGAGGTAAGGTCTGGGAAGGCGTTGGTATTTACTTTTTGTCACGAGCAGTATGACAGGAAAGAGTCCATGAAAAACTTCAAATCATTTAATATAAAATGTAAGGGTGGGGCTTCCCTGGTGGTGCAGTGGTTGAGAGTCCGCCTACCGATGCAGGGGACACGGGTTCGTGCCCCGGTCCAGGAAGATCCCACATGCCACGGAGCGGCTGGGCCTGTGAGCCATGGCCACTGAGCCTGCGCGTCCAGAGCCTGTGCTCCGCAACGGGAGAGGCCACAACAGTGAGAGGCCCGCGTACCGCAAAAAAAAAAAAAAAAAAAATGTAAGAGTGAAAACATTGTTATTGTTACTAGGAAGTCATTAAATTCTGCAAAAATTTATTTTAAAAACCTGTAAGTTTCTATTGAGTAATGACTGGTTGATAGATAAATAGGTAGGTAGATATAGAAAGATATGATCATTCTTTTCATAAAGCTTATATTTTAAGTGAAGAGGTAATACTATACATGAGAAAATCATTAAATAAAAATAGTAAAATATGTGAAGTAATATATACAATATCATACTGAGAAATTTATCACTAACATTTATAAACTGTCCATGGCAGTTTTCGTTTCATCCTATTTCACTGGTAACATTTTTTCTTTTTACCTTATCAAGTACTGTAGTCAGGTGCTCCTTGCAAGACAAAGACTGGAATAGTTCTATACACAATAGAGATGATACTGCATGAGGAAGCATCCGATGGACGACAACAGGAGACGTGGCGATCCCAAAAATGAGTATTAGTGGAAATTCATGTAGATGCTGACTAGTATTTCAAAGGAAGATGCAAAAGTGGAATGTCTTTAGCAAATGTATTTCAATACACCATGGTTTAAAATAAGACCACCTTTATTTTCAGGCCTACTTTATAAGACATTGCTAAGGAAGATCATTCTAAATAATAAAAATTTTTAGGTCACTCATTTTCCTCTGTTACAGTAACACAGAAATAGTTATTTCCCAGACATTCTAGCTCTGAAATCAATCTATTAATAGATCCTCTCATTTTAGCAATAAGAACATAGTGGTCCAGAGAGATCAACTGCTTCCCTCTAAGGTTATACAAAAACAAGTGTTAGAAGAGGCGTTAGATGCTATTCATCCTCTATTCATCCTCTTGCCCAAAGTTTGAGCCCTACCTACAGTCTTCCTCACAGTGAGACATCTAGACTATGCTTTAAGAGTTCAGTAACATGAAGGTCACTAATTTTCAAGGTAACTTATTCTATTTATGGACGTTTCTAACAGACACTATGCCACCCCAGCATAACAGCTAAGCTTTAGAAAACTTTTCTTACAAATAGGTAAGATATTTTTAATGGACATCATTAAAAAAATATTACATTCTTTCCCCACAGTCTTAACTCAAACTTATTGAACATGATTTATTCTTAGCATTACCAATATGAACATAAATGACTTCCACAGAGTAAAACATCAATACCCCTGAGGGCTATTATAGGTCAGAGCCCTCTGTATCGTAGCTGATAATTTTGCTTGTTCCCTCTTATTAGCTATTGCTTTTCAGTATTCTAGCTGTATGCAGTTCTACTTTCATAGTACTGAAGTATTTGAACTATCTTACTGTTTAAGTTCTTCTTTCTTACTTTTGATGGTAAAAGTAGTCACAAGTCTGAGTTCCAAAAAAGCACCGCTTTTCTGTCACTATTCTGTATTGTGCATTTTTTCAGCATGTTAATCAGTTCAGTGTTAGCATTAAGAAAAGTCTTAGGATCTGGAAATCTTAGTTTCAAATGGGGAAGAAAAAGACTATCAAAGTAGGAATTATTATTAGATTATCACACAGTACAACTTTAGGCAAATGTAGCCATAACTATTAAGCAAGTTAACATACAGAAGAAACCAAATTAATTCATATTGTAAAAAATGTACCATGGGAAAAGCATGTCACTGGGTTTTTTAATAGGGTTATTTAGGGCTTCCCTGGTGGCACACTGGTTGAGAATCCGCCTGCCAGTGCAGGGGACACGGGTTCGATCCCTGGTCTGGGAAGATCCTACATGCCGCGGAGCAGCTAAGCCCATGAGCCACAACTACCGAGCCTGTGCTCTAGAGCCCATGAGCCACAACTACTGAGCCCGTGTGCTGCAACTACTGAAGCCTGTGCACCTACAGCCCATGCTCCGCAACAAGAGAAGCCCCCGCAATAAGAAGCCCGCGCACTGCAACAGAGACCCAACACAGCCAAAAATAAACAAATAAATAAATAAAACTTGTAAAAAATGGGTTTTTACTTCAATTCCAAGTCTCACAGGATTTCCTTGAAGACCCAATAAGATCATAAAAGTAGTTTCTCATTAGAAATACCATATAAAATAATGTTATTTAAAAAAACATTCTTGCTCAGTAGAGCCATATGTAACTCAGAGCTTCTAAGGGTGGACAGGTATCAGAAAATAAGACATGATAAAAATGTCTCAACCTGGAGTAGTTCATCCATCTAGCGGGCAAGTACGAAACAGACAACTTTGGTGAGAGAAACTACACTTTATACTGCCTTATCATTCTAATTAAAAACTGGTTAACTTTTGATTCTCATTTTTGGATCAAAAAGCAAATGAAAATCGTATAGGAGGTGTTCAAACATTCAATTTTATAAGGAATTTGAAATCATCCTGGTTTCAATCCATTAGTATTAAAATGAGGGGTAAACTGCTACTCATTTTCTCTGCAAAAGGTTGCTTTTTGATTAAAGTTGTATGTTTTCTTAATAAGAAGAATTTTGCAAAAAAAGCCAGAAGATATGCCATCTACCTGCTGATAATTATAAAGTCTTGGAGTACTTTTGTGGTGAAGCTTTCCATATCCTTTAAGATAAGCACAACAGGAGGAGACTGCCATTGGCTAGGAGGAGTCCTCTTTTTTCTTGGCATTTTTACGTCAGTCTTCTTTTAAGCCATTGTGGAAAGAAGGAGTTAAAAGTAAACTTTACTACCCAAACAATGTTATAATGCCACAAGTTGATATATCTTCCATCATATTTCACAGTAACATTGTTTCTTTTATTTCTCCCACATAATAAAGAGAAATTCATTTCAACAGTTATTAGCAGACTCTTTCTGTGTCTGACATGGGAATAATAACCAAGAAGAAAAAAGTTCAGTAAAATCTATAATTCATATGAAATATTTATATTTTCTGCTATCTGAGAAAATGACAGGAAAAGCATGGGGAGACGAGAGTATTTTCTATAAAATTGATTTTCTGTTAGTACAATGTTATATTTTGCTTTGCTTTGGAGTGAGAACCAGTACTTTTCATTAAAAACTGTAATGAATAACACTACATGCTGCTCTACTATTATGAAATTTCAAGTTGAAAAGCATCTTAAATGTCATCTGGTCCAATCCCAATCTTTTAAAGATTTCTGACCTAAATTGCTGGCAGTATTTGATTTCTAGAAAAATCTAAAACTGTGGATCAAATTAAGATATTATGGTAAGCATTAGACCCAGTTTAGTCCCTATATAAAGCAAAATAAACTTCACTTACGATGACTTCAGCAAATACGTTCTGCAGAAAATGTCACCACAGTAACTTTTCCCATACTATCTGGCTACACAGCAACATAAACTAAGGCTGTGGTTTTATGGTGCAGTTATCCATGAATCATCTAGGTTATTTAGTTTCACCAGAGACTGTCATGGTAGAATGAGACTTCTATTTATGTATTTGCTTGTTAAACATACTTTACTTACAGAGCATTTATTCCTCAAGAATTCTAAATATGGAACAAAGGAGATTTACATATATATTATATATGTGTGTGTGCGTGTGTGTGTGTGTGTATGACAATTCCTCATCAAACTAAGTCGACAGTGGGTACTGAAAGCATGGTTCTACTGCACCAAAGTAAATACTGAACCTAAGAGATAATATGTTAAAGATAAAGACATTAAAGATAGAGATAGAATCTCCAGCAGAACAAATTCCTGATGCTGTTTTGTCATTAGATGACATTCTCCCACAAATAAAATGGCCTCGTAAGACCCTAAACACCTCCCAGGAATTAGGCTACATACTGATAAAAGAAAATTTCTAAATTCTAGTAGCCTTAGGAAAAATAAGTAGCTTCTATTAAATTAACAGCAAGTGCCACATAAACGTATCCTTATTAGAACAAAACAGTACTATGTTTACTATAATTCCAGACCTCTTCAATCATATGCCAATTTCCTGGCAAAAAATTGTCAGTTTACATTTACCTGTGTGACACTCATATACCAAGTGGAAAGAGAATCCATTGAATAATGTATCTTTTTCTGGGTGACCTGAACACTTTCTTTCTCTTTGGATTGCACATCTACATTGCAGTCCATCAACTGTGAGGCCAGCTTTTGCAAAAAATGTTTCATATCTGCAGAACATAAAACACAAGAAAGCATATCCCATTAAAACACATCTAAAACACCTGAAACTTCTTGATCAGTATATTACACTATTTGGGTAGAATGTGTTTTTCTACACTTAACCTAATGTAACATTTAACATATTAACTATTGAGGTTCATTAGTATCCTCTCCCTAATATTTTAATTTCATTCATTCAGACTAACACTAGGCCAAAGTTTATGTTTATTGTCTGTAATAAAAGTGTTACCTAAACAAATGTGCAAACATGAAAACTATAAATTATATTAGGAATAATATGTATTTAAATTACACTGGACAGCAAAAGGTTTTTAAGACCCCTAAGACGACATCGACAGTGTTATTTACATAAGCTATTTTACTGATTACAACTCTTCCTTACAGTCATTTTTAAAGATGCCCTAAGGGCTTTTACTTAATTCCAAACAGTTTATGAATATGAACATAAATATAAGCACTTAAAGCCCTTGTATCAGCCCAAATCTAAGCACATTTTACTCTATTAGTGTCCACATCCTTTATGATTTAATGGCTCCAGATACCCAAGATTAGCTCTGGCAATGGACTGCTTTTTACCACGGTGGCCTTTCAAAGTGGGATAATAAGATGATTTGAGGCTGTATATATGAGCCTATGTATGTAGTCTCTTCTCTGTTGGGCTAAATAAGAGATCCTCAGCTTATTAAACTTATTAAAATTTTACTGGGTTCAGAAAACATCTTGTGAGTGCCTGGACTATTACTGGAGGTGAAGCTGATTGGTAGGGGTGGGGCCAGAATAAACTAAAGCGGCAGAATCCTACAATAGTCAAGATTACGCCAGAGGCACTAAACCTCATCCTGCCAAAAATGTAGTGCCATGCTCCTCCCGCAAATAAAAAAGGATAAAGAAAGCTAGAGAGATGGACGGACGGAAGAGATATGTAACATCTCATCAAGGTTGTTATAGCATTTATACTTCACCTGGGCAATCTTTAGCTTGCAATGAAACTACATATGGAGTAACATTATTCTGAAGGACTTCTGTTAGACTTCTGAATGTTAAATCATGATCTGTTACATTCACACCTATGGGATAATAAATCAATATTACACCATCATTTTTATCATTAATAATTTAACAACAAGAAAAGCCATTTAACATGTCATAAGTTAAAATATTTTAAAAACATGATTAATAATAGAAACTAAGAAAACATACTGCATAAATGAAGAGTTCTCCATTAAAAAGATACATATAGAGGCACACACTATACTTATCAGGAAAGGTATTCAGCACGACTTTTTAAAAAAAATCTACTGGGGATGTGTAGTTGCCCCTTGAAAACATTTTAAAAGCAATTTCAAATTCATAAAGAGCTCTTTAAAATAATCATTCAAAAACAAGGGCCTTACTGTGACCCTGACTTAACAACTGAGAAGAATCCAATCATTAATAGCAATTCTATTAATGATCTTAGTAGTAAATACAAAAGGTAAGTGTATACTAGGGGAAGAGTCTAAAAACAAATTAAAACTTCAAGTCCTTTAAGTATTTACTGAATCCCTGGTTCTCATTTCCACAAATCAGTTTTAGTGCTCTGCATGCAGGTATCAGAGTTGAGTGGAAATTTCCCCACTACTTTGGAAAAAATTCTATTCACTGATACCTTCCCTAATGTCACAATCTGTGACTTCTAGAAAGTGCTTTGGTGCTTAGAAAGTGCTTTAGTGCCAGCAGCAGACATCTTGAAACTGCTTGAGACTTGCTACTATAAAACTTCAACTGCTTGGAATATCGTATTTTAATGCATATATGTGGAACCTAGAAAAATGGTACAGATGAACCGGTTTGCAGGGCAGAAATAAGAGACACAGATGCAGAGAACAAATGTATGGCACAAAGGGGGGAAAGTGGAGGGGAGGGGGTGGTGGTGGGATGAACTGGGAGATTGGGATTGACATGTATACACTAATATGTATAAAATGGATAACTAATAAGAACCTGCTGTATAAAAAAATAAAATAAAATTCAAAAATTGAACAACAACAACAAAAACTTCAAGTGCTTGGAAGGAAAAGAAAAGGTTCAGAATCTTCCAGACCACCAGTAAGCAAATTTTTTTTCTAGGAGACAAATAAAAATGCAGGCCGGCTATTTTAAAATGGACATATATACGTTTTTGAAAACAGAAAATGTATAACTGTGTAACTGTATAAGTATTCTTTGAGTACAGATATCAAAATGATATTTAGCACGCATTATGGTCTAGGAATGTGATACTGCATCACTGAACAAATTTGGGAGTTTAATTAAAATATTGGCTTCTCTTGTCTTTCACTGACAGACTTTATTAGCTATTTAACACTATGTTCCTTAAAACAATGGATTTGCCTATTGAAAATAAGATAATCAACAATGTCTTCAACTGGAAAAATGTTCTCCTCAGACCACTGACTTTGAAACTTATGATTTCCATTAGCTTCTTTTCTCCTTATGACAGCAGGCAGAGAAGGGATTTAAACAGTTATCTCACAACAATCTATCAGGCCCTCCCTCTTGACTGTGTTTCCCCACTCTACTTCCAATTGCTGTAACCTGGCGGGAGAGAAACAAAGCACCCAACAGTACAAGCCAGCCATCACTGGGCCTCAGTTTCTCATCCATAAATGGAAGGGGTTTGAAATTAAGTGGCAGGCTGCACTGAAAAGCTGGTCCACAGCATTATAAAAATCATTCCCTGGAGTCTTGTTACTCAGAGGGATCCTGGGATTGGCAATATGGGCATTACCTGGAAGCCTGTTAGAAATGCAGTTTCCAGCCCCACCCTAGACCTATTAACGAAAATCTCTATTTACTAAGATCCCCTGGAGGTTATCTGTAGGTATCATTAAGGTTTGAGAAGTATTGCCCTGAATATCAGGAATAAGATTTAGGTATTGAACAGTATTAGAGGCAGTATTAAACAACAGAATTAATTTCTTATCTCAGAGCTCACTAGTATAAAAACCTTGAATAAACAACAAATTGGAAATACAATGAAGAGTATGTTTGGAATCCAAATAAATCCAACTTTCCTTTCAGAAGAAATGAAGAAAATTTGCTAATATTCCAAAGAAATTTTTTCCATTATCATGCAATTCAAATGTTTGGTTAAAATGGGATATTAATGATGGATACTTAAGTATGTAAAAAGTTTACAATCTACAATCTGAAAGCAACTTATATATAGTTCATCCAAACCCCCTTCACCCCATTAATATTAATACAACATTACAAAACAATCCAAGATTGAAAAAATAAGCACAGGGAAATAAAATTAAGGTCACAGAGTAATTTCATTGAAGATATGATAAAGTATAAAAATTGTATCTATCAACATACTGGTAGTTTCTTTATTACTGAATTCAAATCTCAGATTCAAATAACTAAGGAAGAAAGAGTAACACAAATATATTTCCCCTTCATTTTTCTGACAAAAAGGTGAGGAGGGTACTAACTAACCCTAAATCAATTTCTTTTAATTTACAGATGTATGGTCAGTATAAGGAACTTTTATTGGTTTTGGAAGTATGCAAACTTTAATTGGTTTAATTCTGTAAACGAAAAAGACAAAACAAGTTTATCAGAACAGGTGATTCCCACTATTCTCAACAACAAAACCACTATTACAAAAAACAAACACACACATATGTACCTAGAACAAGAGCAGCAGTTGGAATTTCTCTGAATTTTATTTGACAGCCCCAGTCTCTTGAATTCTTCTGGAACCCAGAATGAGACTTCTGAAGAAATTCAATTAGACTGTCAAACAGGTTTTTATTTAATTCCTCTTGTAGTCGCTACAAAAAAACCCACAAAACTTTATGAATTATTTTTAGCAGTAATCTGATACATCTTTCCAAGTTTGGGAAAGGAAACTGTCATGATTTCAATTCCAAAGATCACATGTAAAATAATTATAAGATAGATGAAATTAAAAATTGTTTTTCCATAAATCTCCAGTGAGCAGTGCTTTGAATTCCCTCCTTAAAGAATCTCATTTATTCATTCAACAAACATTTACTAACCACCTTACAAATGAAAGAGTCTCTTCCCTAAAGAAAGTGAAAAAAATGAGCTAGAACACTTACAATTAAATTGAAATACATTGCATAGAGTGCTATGATAATATAGGAACAAAGAGTAGGATCATCCACCTTAAGCTGATCAGGTGATATATTTGAGCCAAAGAATTAGAGCAAGTGATGCAGGAGGTGATGGTGGACGAAAGAAAGTTAAGAAGGAATGGGGAGTGGAGAAGGCAATCAAGGAAGAAAGCACAAAACATCTGGGGAACCACAGATATAGCTAAGAATAAGAACATGAGAAGTGGCCAGGAACAAGGCTGGACAAATACTCAAGGGACTGTACCAAGGAAATATATATTTGATGTTAAACGGTTTAGATTTTGTACTGTGGGGAGAACCATTAAAGGGATTTGGAGGAGAGGCATGATTAAATCAACGTTAAGAAGGGTTCACCTGGCAGTACTATGAAGGCCAGATTGGAGGGGACTGGAGGGGCTGTACTGGTAGTGGGGCTGGAAAACCCCTGCAGCCTGGATCTGCCTGATGGGATTTGGCCAATGGTGGCATAGGGACTAATGACAGACCAGAAGGGTGTGACATCAGAGGCAGGGACATCAGTTAAGAGGAGACTATGACAATCTATTATGACCATTTAGGTTTCCTAAACTAGAAATCACAAACCCAAATTACTTCAAGCGTTCTAAGGAATACATGAAGGGGCAAAGCCGCCAGGTGTAAAGCAGTAGAGAGTGGTGGGAAGCAGTAACAAACTGGAAAGTGCATAACCCTCCAAAGGCATTAAAAAACAGGAAACACAATCCTGTGTTGGTCGAACAAAACAAGTTCCCTCAAAATGTTGGCCCTACATCTACAAATCTGCTACAGCGGAGAAACTTTTCAGGGCTGAAATATAAAGAACATGGTAACTGAATATGAGGATGAGGGAATGAAGTGGTTTACAAATAGCTTGATTTCTTACTTGTGTAACTGAATGGATAATTAAAGGAGTGCCACCATGTGAAAGCTGTGAGGACATGTAAAGGGCCTGTGCGTTAGCAGCGATAATTATAAACATATGTTCCAATACCTGAAGCTATGCTTAATAATTGAAACATAAGGGTTTTTATTTTTTTTTAGGATATACAGATTACGCTTAACCAAGATTACATATATTTCATCAACACTCTTATAAACTGGTAGAAAGGAAAATGGGAAGGAACAAATGTGAGATTTATGATATTAAGGAAATGTTAAGTTATTAAAAAAAAGTATTCACCTCAGTTTCAGATTTCATCTGCTGCCATATCAACTGGTAAGTTTCAAAGCGAAGCTTACTGTCCTCAGACTCATTTTTCCCTTTATTAAAATAGTCCTCTAAAAACACAGAAGGAAATAAGTCAGTTTCTTTTTTACATAATAATAGAAAATCTCTGTGCAAAGTAAGTGATGGGTTGAATTTTTTTTTACAAGTATCAAAAATATATATATTTGGGGATAGGTAACATTCAATATCCTTTATATTTAATTTTATTTATATATCTTATATTTTTACTATTAATGGTATTTGTAAGTTTAAAAATCTTTTTAATTTTTTGACTGTATTTCTATCATTTACTTTTGAACTTCTTAATGGTTTTGGTTTGAGGTATATACATTTAATATTAATGTATTTTCATTATCTGCTCTTATGCTAAGGCTCTGTATACTTTGCTTCACATATTTGCTTTGAACTCTCCTTTATTAAATGATTCTTATTACTACTATTCTTATTCTTTGCTTAGCTGAAATAGTTTAGTGCAGCCTTTTATTTAGTCTGTATTTTATATCCTTCTTGAATGGCTTCCTCTAAATGATTAGCCATTTATCAACACACTATTTATTGCAATGGTTTTCAAACTTTAAACCATGATCCATATTAAGGAACACATTTTACATCATAATCCAATACACGTGAATCTAAGAAAAACAAAAACAGAAGTCCCATAAAACAATACTTCTCGTTATCATGTGACAGCAAATGCTTTCTCTTCTGTTTTTTAAAACTATCAAGATCCACTAAACTGATTTCATGACGCACACTTGGGTTATAACTTTCAGTTTGAAAGAGATGCACTTATTGGATAATCCGTCCTTTCTCCCACCCATGTCAGATGCCCTTATTGTCTGAATACTTACATATGCACTTGAAACTGTTTTTGAACTTCTTTTGTTCTACTGAATCCAGTTCTACTCCCATGGCAGTCCTGAACTCCTGTAACCGTTAGAGCTTTGTAGTGCATCCTAACATCAAACAGATCCAGAGCTTCCTCCCAGAGCCACCAAACATTATTCTCTTTCAAAAAAATTTAAGGGCTTCCCTGATGGCCCAGTGGTTAAGAATCCACCTGCCAATGCAGGGGACACAGGTTCAAGCCCTGGTCCGGGAAGATCCCACATGCTGCGGAGCAACTAAGCCCATGCGCCACAGCTGAGCCTGCACGCCACAACCGCTGAGCCCGCATGCCACAACTACTGAAGCCTGCGCACCTAGAGCCCGTGCTCTACAACAAGAGAAGCCACCACAATGAGAAGCCCGCGCACCACAACAAAGAGTAGCCCCTGCTCGCTGCAACTAGAGAAAGCCCATGTGCAACAGCGAAGACCCAACACAGACCTAAATAAATAAATAAATAAAATAATTTTTAAAAATTTAAGACATTCTCCCAAATTAAATTTGTCATTTCTCAAAATTATTACCCTGGTGTTTGACTGGATAAAATAAAATCTGTAGATTGATTTGGGGAAAATGACATTTTTAAATACGTTTCAAAAAAGTCACATCCCAAAACACTACAGGTCTCTTTTTTTATAATCAAATAGTTTACATGCCTTATAGTTTTCTACTTTCCTTCATATTTCTTGTTGTTTACTGCTAGGTATTTTATTGCAACAGCTAGAACTTTCATGGTATTAAATAATAATTGTGAAAGTACACATTTTTTTTTAACAAAAAGTTAAAAATTAACAATTTTTTCCTGATTTCACTGAGATGCTGCTAGTATCCTCCCAACAAGTTTTAATGTTAACTGATAGTTTGGAACAGAAATTCTCTTCCATGTTAAGGAACTTTCCTTCTAATTGTCATTGACTCACAAATCTTAATAAATTATAACTGAAATTCAGTACAAAGAGTTCTAAGCAAAAACTTGCCTTGAATTATGAGAAACACTATTAGGTAGTGGTTAGACCTTAGGCTCTGGGATCAGACAGCTTGGTTTCAAATCCCAGCTCTGCCACTTGCTAGCGCTATCACTGAGAAAGTTCTTTCTACATCTAAATATCCTGATATACTTTAATGGAGATAATAATAATACTTTCTTCATAGTTTAACACATAAAGTGCTTAAAATATTCTGGCACATTAAAAACACTCAATAAATGTTAGTGCTTTTATTAGTTATAATGACATTGCTCATGATATCAGATGTCATTTCATGCTATGTATCCTTCATGGATAACAGGGGAACAAGTCTTGAATTCTTCTCTGAAAATGAACTATTTCTAGTTAAGTTTAGCAATCTCCAACATTAAAGAAATATGTTGATAAGTCAATCACTTAAAAACAAAATAATTTATAATGTAGCTCTTCTTCGTTCACTATTTCCAAGTCCATCACTGTCACTTTTTATTTGGGGAGGTGAGGAGGGCAAGGAATATAGAAAGCTTCAGGTTTTTTTGAGACTAAATCTGAGTGTAAAGTTCAACACCACTGTTTATTCTCCTGTTAATGAGAAACGGCATCCTTATTTTAAATCATAGTTTCTACCCTCTATTGCCCTCAATATGGACCATTATTTTATTATTTGCTCCCTGAGCACAGGTACTTTACCTAGCTGGTCCCAAATTGAAGGATTAACACCTTAAAGGTCTACATCATGAGATGATTTAGAAAAATCCAATTCTATATATTGGAGCTGTTTATCTCCTTAGTCAAACAATAGTATAGTCCAGTTTTTCTTTTTTAATTCAAAATTAAAAATGAGTGTGAATGAATATGCTTAATTGCACATCATAATTTTTCCATCCGAATTAATCTTCACAGTGCTGAACAGTGAGTGTAAATACTCAACATGCCTGAGAGGAGCTTTTAAAAAATACCAACACCTGGGTCCCATTCCCAAAGATACTGATTCAGTTGGTCTGGGCTGCGGTTTGGGCATTGGTGTTTTTAAGAAACTCTCCAAGTTGAAATCGGAATAAGGTCGATGGATTATCCCACTGTCAGTATGCTAGTTGTGATACTGTACTATAGTCATGCAATACATTATCACTGGGGATAATTGGGTGACGGTTCAAGGGTACTCTCTACACTCTACACTCTTTCTTACAACTGCATGTGAATCTACAATTATACCAAAAAAAAAAAATCAGTTTTTGTTTAAAAGTTCCCCAAGTGATTCTAATCTGCAGGCCCCATTGAGAAACAGTACAATAAACATTTTCTGACTGATAATAACATCTTGATTTGTTTGAAGTAGTCAAGTCTTCTTGATCACTAAACAGACATCTGGAGATAAGTAAAGAACGTGAAGACAATATTTTTTTTTAATAATTTAATTTTACTGCAGTATAACTTACAAATAATAAAATATGCCCATTTTAAAAGTTTGATATGTCCTAACAAAGGTATACACTCACATAACCATCCTCTGTCTACAGAACATTCCCATCACTCCAAAAGTCCCTCTTGGGACTTCCTTGGTGGTCCACTGGTAAAGAATCTGCCTTCCAATGCAGGGGACACGGGTTCAATCCCTGGTCGAGGAACTAAGATTCTCACGTGCCACGGAGCAACTAAGCCCGCACGCCACAACTACTGAGCCTGCACGCCTCAACGAGAGAGCCCGCATGCCACAAACTACAGAGCTCACGCACTCTGGAGCCCGCACGCCACAACTAGAGAGAGAAAACCCACACGACACGACTAGAGAGAAGTCTGTGTGCCACAACGAAGAATTCGCACCACAACAAAAGATCCCACATGCCTCAACTAAGACCAAACGCAGCCAAAAAAACAAAAGGTCCCTCTGCCCTTCTGCAGTCAATACTCCCTACCTCATCCCAAGAAATCACTGAGATTTTTAAGACAATCTTTTTTAAAGAATGGTGACATACCTTTTGAAGGAAATTTTGAATTGCCTTTTGATGGTACATTTGGATTCCCTTTTAGATTAGAGCCCCGGGAGTGCCCCTTATCGCTTTGTCCTACGCCTTGGAACATTACTGCTATATCAACATGGTGAGTAAAGCAAGCTTAGACAGGAGAATTACTAATTCAATAAGAGTTAGGTTAGTTCAAGACTTGGGGGAGGAAAACTAACAAATCTGATATTAAGACATCTTACCTATTGGCACAGAGATCTTTCTCTTCTTGAAGTCTGGCTTAAACACAAAGCAACCCTATAAAAAAGAGAGAAAAAAAGCATAAAGTCAAAGCAGCCAAGAAGCAGACACATCTGATTAACCTAGTATTTTATGGATAAGCAGATTTTTTTCTTTTTAAGGCGTTTATTTATTTATTTTTTGGGGGGAACGCAGGCCTCTCACTGTTGTGGCCTCCCCCATTGCGAAGCACAGCCTCCGGATGCGCAGCCTCAGCGGCCATGGCTCACGGGCCTAGCCGCTCCGCGGCATGTGGGATCTTCCCAGATCGGGGCACGAACCCATGTTCCTGGGTTCCCTACATCGGCAGGCGGACTCTCAACCACTGCGCCACCAGGGAAGCCCCAAGGCGTTTCTTTAAAGTGCTAAGAAATCATCTTTCTTCAATCTGAATTACAGAAGGAAAATTCTTAAACAGTAAGGGGACTAACCACTTCTTTCTCCTCCTTCCCATGGGAAGCTCATCTTTGATTTTGCTCTTTGGGACCTAATCTAAGAGACAAAGAAAATATAAGCTGATGAAATTTAAACCCAGAAAGGTTCCATTTTTCATTTTTATAAAACCTAGTGAAGGAAGAACATTAGTACTATACATTATTAAATGAAAATCAAGATGATTAAAAATACTGATGCCCTCTCACCTCAAAAGAAGTATTTATTATTGAATTAAATTCCAAGTATCTAGGACCTTGACAGGACACAGACAGTTTTGGCTATTGATTCACCTTACACACCTTTCTTCATCAGATAAATTCTTATTCATTTGTCCATTAAAGTTCAACTCAAACTCACCTGCTTTGGGAAACCTTCTCCAATTCTCTAGTCAGAAGTATTCTTTCCCCTAATATCTCACAGTACTTGAATATCTTTATTTCGCTTTAAGTCACCCTTACTATGTATGATAGTTAATTATGGAGTTGTCTCCCCAAGTAGTTTTTTTATATATATATATATTTTATCATCTTTTTTTTGTGTGTGTGGTACATGTTGCCCGACCAGGGATCGAACCTGTGCCCCCTGCAGTGGAAGCGTGGAGTCTTAACCACTGAACCGCCAGGGAAGTGCCTCCCCAAGTAGCTTGTGAGCACCTTCAGAGTACAGACTGCATTTAATTCATAATTGTTTCCCCAATGTTTAGGATAGTGTTAACACATACGTTAGGCAATCAGTATACATAATGGACGAATGCTTGCCAAATAATTTTTCTGGTAATTTCCTAGCTACATTTAGTCTCATGTTATTATCTGACTAGTGATACACAGGCCGTAAGCTGCTGGTCCCACATTTGTTCTACCAATTCTAAAGCCGTACATCATGGACAGCTTCTTAGAAAATGGAAATGGAAAAAGAATCTGCCTATGGAAAATGAAAGAATGAAAGAAATATAGCTAGAAAAAGTCATCTCAGGATAGACCTAAAGACTGCTGTACAAATATAAACTGGCCATTGGATTACAGGGTCCAAAATAAGAATTGTGCCTTACATTCTTATATCTGCAACTAACGAAACTATTTAAAACACACAAATTTTTTTAGAAAAATCATTTGGTGCTATGACAAGCTTGTCACTGCCTCCTTTCTATAGCCACCTGTAATTCAGGAGCAAGAAAAGGAGCTATGAAGGAGTGAGACATGAAGAGTGCTGGGAATGGATCCCGATGTATGGCAACAGGAGTAATATCGTTATCCACTTTTCACTACTGATCAAGTGATGGTGTTGGAGATGGAAGAAATTAGGAGGAGAACCAACAGCCAAAAAATATGACAAGGAAAGTTTAGATAGGGGAAAAAAAAGGAAGCTGACAGTTCCATGAACCAATGAAATAATCCTTAAAGATTCTTATTTATGTAAGGTCTCCATCATCATCTCAATACAAGCATTTCTCTTGTCATAAATGTTTTCCTGAAAAAAACAAAAACAAAAAAAACAAACCTCTCACAATTCTGCAAGATACACAAAAATAAGAAAGGCTTATGCAAAAA